AGCAAAAAACACGGCTCAGAGTCATCTCAATCGGAGGGGTGCGGAATCTCTCTGCCCATCATTGGCTAAGGGCTGCTTCCTCACGGAATCACCACCTGCAACATGCTGCTTCCGGGGCCCTTCCACTCCTGCATGTGCAGCTTGCCTGAGTTCCCTCTTTTTGCTCCAGAAAAACAGTTCTCAGGCAAGAAGTCACAGGTCTTCACAATAAGCAGCCACCAGTCTTTACCATAATGTCTTACGAGATTTTAATAAAAACACATTTTTAATATTTGAATCACTATTATAGTTTCTTTCCTTGGGTCAGACACAAGTCTGTGGGAGCTGCAGGGCAGTAAGCCAATGACACGGTGCTGCATTACAACCCACACCTGACCGCATAAACCATCCCACTGCCTTCTATCATGACCAGCAATGTCTGAGTCCTAGTATGATCCCAGTTACATTGTCTAATTGAGACTCCTGAAACATATGGTTTGTATCTCTCCTTTAAAAAGAGAAACATTCAGGAAGCAATAAAACAGGATTTTATCATGAAAAAAGTGGGCTCTTTACTAAATTAAGCTACTTTGATTAAAGCCTGCAGCTACATTTAAAGCTTAAGCAGGAAATGCAAAGATCATGGCTTACTTCCACTTTCTCTATGCTCCATGCCCTTCCTTTCCTTGGCGCTGTTCTACTGGGGACCACCACCTTCCAGAATCAGGATCAGTCTCCTGCAACAGAAAGAGCTGCACACTCCAGAGTGGAAGCCGGTGTTAAATTATTAGAATAGGAATCTTAACCTGAAATCCTTGGAGGGGCTCTGAACACTTCTGAAACAATATTTGTTCTATAAATGTTTTTCTGAAATGTACACATTAGCATTTTTCTGAGTTAGAATTACACAGAATTTAGAAAATCCTCAGTTACATAGGATCTCAAAAGGTCAAGAATCCTTGTCTTGGAAGTAACTCTGGAAAGCACCAAAGGTCTTGAGGAAAGGCAACAGGACAGCCTCTCAGATCTTTACAAGCAAAACTCAGCGGAGGCCTTCTGCATGTGACAGCCTTATATGCTATACCCTGGCTATTAATCTGCTTTTAATTTAGATCTTTATGTACTTGCAGTTTTGGTTGTTTCCTATGAAGTGGAACATAATCGGTGATGGATAGTCTTATTTCAAAGGTAAGTCAATTGAAAAAGTCACCAGTCCAATGTTCTAATTACAAAAGACTGGATGGACCAACCAGAGTTGTGCACCCATTATACCAGAGAGTCTAACCTGCAGTTTGGGCTCATGGTGCTAGTCTTGGATAACCTTCAGTCTCAGGCATTCAAGTAGCTGTGAGTTCCAATGCACTGAAGCAAACAATGGTTGGCTTATTTATTCACCCAACAATTTAAAAATTCCTCCTCTGGGCAAGGCCTTTTACTGGGCACTGGCAATACCACTCTAAACAAGATAAGGTCTTTGCTTTCACAGAGATTAAATTCTACTTGAGAGGTCAAATGTTACATAACTAATCACAGTATTGTAATTGTAAGAAACAGTGGCGCTACATCTTACTCTAGAGGCACACAGCCTAACTTGCAGGGGTTGGATGGAGAAGCGGAAGGTAAAGGCTTTCTTGAGGGGAAGAAACCTGAGAGCAAACTCTGAAGCCTATGGCATTGGTTTTCACAGATAACTTACAAATGTGTATCTTAGCCCATGTTGCTTCACCAAGCTACAGACTGAAATACCCAGTAGCTGACTTGTTCTTCCCTCAGATGATTCCAAGTCACTCTTTAATTCAACAGACAAAAAATGACTTTCTAGTTTTCATTTTTAGATAACAAAATGTTGTGGGGGGGATTCTTAAACTTCCCTCCTAAACACTGCCCTCTCTAATCCCTTCTCCAGGTATAAAACCCCTTGCCCTACTTCCCCATAACACCAAGTCCTGTCCATTTTCCCTCCTATGCCTCTCTTGAGTCTGTCTTCACTCACTGTCTCCAGCCCTCCCCTCATTTCCCCCAGCACCTCATATTTCATCTGGATTTTTTCTCATTCTGCTGCTGGTGGGGAGGAGACACTCTGCCGTGACCTTGAAGAAAACTAAAAGATTTACAGAGATGTGGATGAGGAACCTAACAAGGAACTCAGGAACCAGCAAATCATGATCGTCTCCAGGACTGAAGTCTCAAGAGGAAGAAACATTCTACTGGAGCTCAGCAAGAACTGGAGCTGCAGGGGCTCCCCTGCGGAGCTATCATTCTATCAAGCAGATGCTGCTGAGGTGGGGCACCCCAATCTTTCTCCTCCTTCTCTCCTGTCTTCTGTGGGTTAGTTGCTATCTGCTGAACAAAGCCAGATGCTGGAGGGCAAGTCTGAGTGATGACGTTCTTGGGGGTTAGTTCCTGGACCTGAAGAAGAGCAGAGAGTAAACAGATAAAGAACTTTTCCACACCCATGCTTGCCTTTCTCAGAGACGCCCTAGCAAAGGTCCCCATGGTAAATGTTTTAGGCTTCGTAGGCCACAGGGTGTCTGTTGCACAGACTTAATTCTTCAGTTGTCCTACAGAGGCAACCATAAATAATACAAAAACACTCAAGTGTCACTGTCTTCTAAGAAAACCTCAAGACACTGGGATGATTCCCATGTAATCTTCACATGTCACAGAACACTTTCTAATTTTTTAAAAAAACTAAAAATGTCAAGGCTGCCCACAAGCTATACCAACAACAACAAAATGGCAGCATACTGGATTTTGTAGGGTGGACTGCAGATTCCTGCTCTACCCTGCTGCCAGCCATCTTTGTGAAACAGCATCCTCCTTAAACCTTTACACATTCCCATTGCCCCCTGGGGAAATAACTGAAATTCTTAATGTGACTTATGAGGACTGCATGGTCTGACCCCTACCTACATTTCCACCCTCACCATCTACACTCAGCCACAAAGGCCTCTCTCCCTGGATAGACACCTCTCACTCAATATCACGCTGTACCCATGGGTTTGGAACACACCCCTCTACTCTCTCCCTACTGTTCATTTTCAGATGTCTGCTCACTGCAGCATTATCTATACTGGCAGATTACACACCAGAAAGAAAGGGGAGGGGGAGACATAAAATTCCAAACAGTAGAGAAATGGATACTGGAATATCAGGCAGACATTTTTTTTTTAGTTTATTTCCAGGTTCTTTTTTTTTTAACTTTTATTTAATGAATATAAATTTCCAAAGTACGGCTTATGGATTACAAAGGCTTCCCCCCCATAACGTCCCTCCCACCCGCAACCCTCCCCTTTCCCATTCCCTCTCCCCTTCCATTCACATGAGGATTCATTTTCAATTCTCTTTATATACAGAAGATCAGTTTAGCATACATTAAGTAAAGATTTCAACAGTTTGCTCCCACACAGAAACATAAAGTGAAAAATAATAGATGATTTTTTAAATGATGATGAAATCAGATCAGACCTATTGTCATGTTTAATCCCAGCGAGAGTCAAGTTGGGAATTGCTAATTTCTTCTAAAAAAATGAAGTTAAACCCTGGAATCTCAGTTGACTATTTTTTTTTAATATTTATTTATTTATTTGACAGAGTTACACAGAGAGAGGAGAGGCAAACAGAGAGAGAGAGCAGTCTTCCACCCACTGGTTCACTCCCCAATTGGCCGCAACAGCTGGAGCTGCCCTGATCTGAAGCCAGGAGCAGGAGCTTCTTCCAGGTTTCCCACGCGGGTGCAGGGGCCCAAGGACTTGAGCCATTTTCTACTGCTTGCTCAGGCCATAGCAGAAAGCTGGATCGGAAGTGGAGCAGCCAGGTCTCTAACCGGCACCCATAAGGGATGCCAGCGCCTCAGGCCAGGGTTTTAACCCACTATGCCACAGCGCTGGCCCCAGTTGACTATTTCTTAAACTTATGAGAGGGATGGGAGGATGGGATGGTTTTCACTAATTCAATGCTAGATTTATCAAATATTCAATTTCCTAAAATCACCCCATACCTGAGAGTAATACATTGGGAGACAGATTTTTAGTTCCTGGTCTTTGATAAGGACTTGAAAGGTAGCTTTTCCTCCATTGTTGTTTTAAATGTGGAAGCATAGGGGGCTGCTGCTGTGGTGTAAAGGAATAAGCCTGTAGCAGGGGAATTCATTTGGGCACTGGTTCAGGTCCTTCCTGCTGATGTGCCTGGGCAAAGCAGCAGAAGATGGCCCAAATGCTTGGGTTCCTGCACCCACGTGAGAGATCTGGAAGAAGCTCCTGTCTCCTGGTTTTGGTCTGGCCCAGCCCTGGCCATTAAGACCATCTGGGGAGTGAATCCGCAGATGAAAGGCCCCTCTCTCTCTCTAACTCTGCCTTTCAAATAAATAAATAAATCTTTTTTTTTTTTTAAAGAAAAAGGTGGAATCAAAAATTCTCCCCAAACAGTAACTCAAACTCAGTGCCTTGAAAACCAACGCCAGCTCCCCATGAGATGAGCAGAGACGCCAGCGTCATTCTTTACCAACACAGCTCACCTCCGCAGAGGCGTGGTTCACCTGGCACGGCCAAATCCCATCCGCTGAGCGCAGTGTGGCCCCAGGGGACACGGTGAACAACTGTGAAACCACCATCGGAATTACGCAAAGGACCCCAGGGTGCGACTTGGAGTATCAAGAACAAGGCCATCCAAACTCCAAAATAGCTAAAGCCCAAGAGTTGGCGTCCAATTCCTTAACACCGATCCGCCCGGGGACTCCCTTCCCCTCCTCGGCCCCCGATCCCCAGAGGAGGGAAGTCAGCGGGCCTCCGCCTCCAGCCCTCGGACAAGGACCGCGGACTCACTCCTTCCAAGCGTTCAGCGACAAGGCGGCGACCGCCAAGCCCCACGCCTTAGCGCCCGGCCCCGCCCACGCTCGGTGGGCTTCTCCCACCTCGGCCCGTGTGTGACGGGCAGGGAGCGCAGGCGTCTATTGCGCACGCCCGGGCGCGGGGCCGGCTCCTAAGACCGGGGGGGGGGGGGGGGGGGGGGGCGGCGGCGGCGGCGGCGTCGCGCGGGAGGAGATGCGGCGCGGAGCGCGGCGGGATCCTTCCCGGAAGCGGAAGCTCGGGGGGCGGGCCGAGGAGGGCCGGGAGTCTGTGGCGGTTAATTCTTTTCGCCGTGCGTCCTCGCTGCCGTGCGTCGGGGCTGCTGTTAGGCTGCGAGAGATGGTCAGGTCCGGAACTCGAGCAGGCCAGGTGAGGGCGGCGGGCCCGAGAAGCCCTCTCTGTGCGGGAGGGACTGAGGGAGTCCTCGGGCCGGGGTCGTTTAAAACTGCTTGGAGAAAATAAAAACGAACGCGGCGGCGTTGAAAATGCCGGGCCAGGGCCGTGAGGAGACACTTGATCTTCCCTCTCTAAGATACTGGCTCTGTTCTTGGACAAATTTTGGAAGCGGCATAGCCCTCCAGAGCGGTGCCTTCGGGCAGGCGCGAGTTCGAGTACCGGCCTTGGCCACCGGGTCTCGTGGCTCATCCACCGCTGGCTTCAGGACACGGATACGTCAGATCCAGGCCTTGGCCCTCACTGGTGCCCCAGTTGCGTTTCATTTTTTAAAAGTCTCCCAGGTAGTACCTCTGCATTTATCCATCCCCCTCTCAAATGCTTGCCCCGGTTGTGAGTGAATGGCTCCGCTTAAAATCCGACACGGGAACGCGTCCTTTTGTCAGGGTGAAGCCCGCTCTTAGCCGTGACAACAGTCAGCTCTTGCCCCATTCCAGTGAGGCCCAGCACGGCTCACCTCTGCTCGAGGTGCCCTGGCTGTGCCACGCCCCCTGCTGCTGCCCTGCCTTCTCCCTCTCTGCTCAGCCTGGAGTGCCCTTCCGTGCCGAATGGCGAATGGCGCCACTCTCCAGCTCACCCCTCCAAGGCTTGCCTGGCTCCCTCACATCTCCAGCGGCTGGGTGCTCCCCCTTTTAGCACCCTGTAATAACCTCTATCAGATCACTCCAGGCAAGAGACATTGCTTAATTTAACTACCTACTGGGAGACTATCTTATCTCCTTATCTTCAAGGCCTGGGAAGCACCTGGCCCATGATAGATTTTCAATAAATGAATCAACTATTTCTCACAGACCTACTTCAAGAGGTCTTTCTGTCCGTATCTGTGGGCAACTCCTCCTCTCCCATGTCTTCCTTAATTTATCAACACATCTGTAATGCTCTCTTCTCCACTAATGTGAATCTTGGGGTTATTTCATGACCTGGCTTGATATTTCCTTTCCTCATGAAGACTTCTAGACTGACCCCACCCTCGCCGATCTTTGTCTTCCATTGAGTGAAACAGAATTTGTGCATTCAACAAGGAGGAAAACCAGGGTTTTTGTCATCAGTCACCTGCAGGTTCAGATTCCCTTTCTACCACTACTCATCCCTCAGCTATAAAATAGGTATAACTAGATATAAAATGTTCACTCCAAGAATTGGGGAGATGAAATGAGAGAAGCTGGTAAAGCCTGTCACACAGCTGGCATAGACATGCAACAAAATGTAGTCCCCTTGGAAACAGCTAGTGTGCTACCCTGCTAATGGTAATAATAGCTGCTAACATTTAGATAGCTCTTACTGTTTGGCAGGTACTACTCTATTCTAATATATTACATGTAATAACTCATTTAATCTAAATAGTAGCTTTATGAGGTAACAATGCTATTCCCACTTTATGAAAAGGGAAATTGGGGAATATAGAGTTCAAATAGCTTCCTTAAAGTTACACAGCTGCTTAGCTGTAGAAACAGAATTCAGGCTCACATAGCTGGTCCTGGAGTCCATTCTTCTTTTAAACACTACACTGCCGTACTTAGTAAATGTAACACTTTGCACAAGCCACCTTCTTTGGACTTCTGTGAGGTTCTCATGTCACAGAAATCATGACATCTGAAAGGGTGTAGATTAATTAGAAATGAAAGGCTTTAAGTATAATTTAAATAATTGTACAAAAGTAATATCTTGCACTACTGAGAAGTATTTATATTCTTAAATAGCAATACTCAAAATTTAAGGATAATACCCAGTGGAAGTATGAAATAAACAAATTCTTATATGATCTGGGGTACTCCTTTTGTATTTTTAAAGATTTTTATTCATTTATTTGAAAGAGAGAGAGAAAAGAGAGAGTGAACATCCGCTGATTCACTCCCCAGATGGGTGCAATGGCCAGGGCGGGGCCAGGCTGAAGCCTGGAGCTTCATCTGGGTCTTCTACTTGGGTGCCGAGGCCTAAATATTTGTGCCATCAACTGCTACTTTTCCCAGGCCATTAGCAGGGATCTGGATTGGAAGTAGAGAAGCCAGGACTTGAACTGGTGCTCATATGGGAAGGCAATGTCACAGGCAGTGACAACCTGCTACATCACAGTGCCAGCCCTTGGGGTACTTCCTTTTTTTTTTTTTTTTTTATTTTTATTTTATTTGAAAGTCAGTCAGAGAAGGAGAGGCAGAGAGAGAGGTCTTCATCTGTTGGTTCACTCCCCAGTTGGCCTCAACAGCTGGAGCTACGCAGATCCAAAGCCAGGAGCCAGGAGCTTCCTCTGGGCAAGGTCCAAGGACTTGGGCCATCTTCTACTGCTTTCCCAGGCCATAGCAGAGAGCTGGATCAGAAATGGAGCAGCCAGGACTTGAACCAGTGCCCATATGGGATGCCAGCACTATAGGCAGCAGCTTTACCCACTATGCCACAGCGCACTGGTCCCGGGATACTCCATTTGAAGAGAAGTTTTATAGTTTGTATCAATGGCCATTAAACTGTTAATAATCTTTCACCAGTGCATTTAGTCCTAGATATGAAAAGGCTGTTCTCAGTATATAGAAAGGTTTGTTTCAGGTCTGTTGTTAGTTTTAAGAGGCAGAGAGAGAGAAAGTACCCCCATTTGCTGTTATATACCCCAGCTGCCTGCCGTAGCCAAGGCTGGAGCCAGAAGCTCAGTCCAGGTCTCTCATGTGGATGGCCCAGACCCAATTACTTTGAGCCATTATTGCTGCCTCCCAGGATCTGCATTAGTGGGAAGCTGGAATGGGAAGCAGAGCCAGGAATCAAAACCAGGCACTCCAGTAGGGAACATAGATGTCTTAACTGATGTCTTAATTAGTAGACCAAGTGCTCATAACTGTTTAATTTTGAAAATTATGAAGCATATTCCACCCAATGAAATATGAAGCCATTAACAAGTTTTAAATGTTAATGTGGACAAAGATTTAAAAGTAAAAAAAAAACCACAAGTTTCAAAATTATAAGTATTCAAAATTACTAGTCATTATGGCTAAGTAGAAAAGGTGCATGTAAAAATATTGGAAGCTGTAGTAGCAAAAAATGTATCCAGTGCCTAGATTTTGTTTTCTAAATACCATTGCCCACTAGAAGTACCATAGCTTCCTGGGAAAATGGCTAACTCCTAAACTGAAACAGGGGAACTGTAAAAATGAGCCCAGATACATCAAGCTAAAAAGTTTCTGCTCAGCATAAGAAAGAGTAGTTAATATCCAAAATATATAAACTCAACTCAATAGCAAAATAAAAATAACCTAATTAAATGAGCAAAGGATTTGAGTAGATATTTCTCCAAAAAAGACATATAAGTAGCCAATAAGTATAAGAAAAAAATTCTCAAAACTACAGTGAGATATCACCTAATGCCTGTTAGTATGACCTTTTTTTTTTTTTTTTTTAAGTTTTCATGAGAGTAGAAAAATTGAAACACCTGAACCCTTGGTGGGAATGAGAATTAGCTGCTATGGAAAATAGTGTGGAGGCCCTTCAGAAAACTAAAATTGGAGCTATCATATATGATCCAGCAAACCATTCTGGGTATTTATCCAAAGAATTGAAATCTGGATCAAAGAAATACTTGTACTCTCATGTTCATTGCAGCATTATTCACAATAGCCAAGCTATGGAAACAACCTGAGTGTTCATCTACAGATGAATGGATAAAGAAAAATAGATGTATACATACAGTGGAATATTATGCAGCCTTTAAAAATAAGGAAATCCTGCCTTAACAACAAGGATGGGCCATTTGAGGATATTATGCTAACTAAACTAGTCACAGAAGGAGTTAGACTGCATGATTCTGTCTATATGAGATATCTAATCTAGTCAAACTCAGAAGCAAAGAGTGGAATGTTGATTGCTAAGGGCTGGGGAGGGAAAACATTCAGTGGAAATAAAGTTTCAGTTATACAGGCTGAGTAAGTTATAGAGACTGACTGTACAACATCATGCCTATAGTAAATACTATATTTTGTTAAGGTAGATCTCATGTTAAATATTCTTACGTCATTTAAAAAGTTCCTGGAGCACCTGTTGAAGAAAGGAACAGTTCAAAAAATTATAGGAACATGTTACGTGATACTGGAGCCAACTTTGAAGGGGCACCCACTGACCAAATCTGAGACAATTTGAGTATCAGAATAAATAGTGATAACAATAGATCATTAGCATTTAAACTGGAAAACAGTGAATCCAAGCCAATAAATAAATGAGGAAGAAAGGAAATTGCTTTCCTAGAGTTGAATGCCAACATGTGAACATGGAAGGAATGGTGTAGTTAGAAAGCCAACGCTTGGGCCGGCACCGCGGCTCAATAGGCTGAACCTCTGCCTTGCAGTGCCGGCACACCGGGTTCTAGTCCCAGTCAGGGCGCCGGATTCTGTCTTCCAGTCCAGCTCTCTGCTTGGCCCGGGAGTGCAGTGGAGGATGGCCCAAGTCCTTGGGCCCTGCACCCGCATGGGAGACCAGGAGGAAGCACCTGGCTCCTGGCTTCGGATCAGCGCGGTGTGCCGGCTGCAGCGCGCTGGCCACAGCAGCCATTGGAGGGTGAACCAACGGAAAAGGAAGACCCCCCCACCTCACTGTCCACTCTGCCTGTCAAAAAAAAAAATGCAATCAACGCTTGACAGAATTGATTCAGACAAGAATTATCAGTGGATGCTGAAACCATGAGTGAAAGTTTGATGAGTCGGATATCTTGCATAATGCAGTCTCCATAAAATACTTAATAAAAATAGAAGCCTTACAGTGAAGAACCTGGCAGACACTACCTTAAATAAGAAAGTTTACATCCCCAGTACAGTAACAGGGCAAGCTGGCATCATGTGTCTACTCATTAAGAAGGACGCAACATCTCTTGTTTTTGTATTCCTGCCTCAAAAGTGCAATGTGAGTCTAAATAGACTCTGTACCCCTTAAATTTGTAAGGGTTATAAAATAATGAGTGGCAGCCTGAACAGCTGTTCCAGAATAAAGGAGACTAAAGAGCTCTGACAACTTAGTGTGTGTATGATTCTGGGTTGGACGTAGACTAGAGTGTTTTTCCTGTAAAGGACAGTATTGGGATAATTGACAACATATGAATAAGGTCTGTATATAGATCATAGTACTATATCAGTATTAATTTCATGATTTGATAATTATGTTACTTTATAGAATGGCCTTGTTCTTAGGAAATATATAGGAGTAAAGGAGTATTATGTCTGAAACTTATTCTGAAATGGTTCAGACAAAAAATAACGCTGTGAGCATATATTGAGAGAGAACATGGCAAATATAAAATGTCAAGGATTGTGAAATTGCATGAAGCATATGCAGGATTTCATTGTACTATTATTTCAAAGCAAAAAATTTTTTAAAAATAGAAGGAAATGTTGCTTTATGATAGTTACTATTTCAAGGTGCTTTGATCATGGATAATTTTCTGTGCCTTATGTGTATGTTTTTTGGGGAAATACTACCTTAGAAGCTTATGATCATGCCATGCATTTATCTCAGTGTTTCTTTGAAAATGTTTTTGAAAGACAGTAATCGTGCTAGTTGTTTTGGGGATCAATCTGGGTTATATCAGCACTGTGATTTAGATTTTTTATTATGGTTCCAACCAAGATATCACAGGGAAAGACCATAAGAATGTGGTGCAGAGACCAGTGGAACTATCTTAGACAATATCTACTATGTTCTTACTCCGACTTCATGACTCTCCATTGTATTCCAAGTTATCTCAAGAAGTATAACACTTACCAACACAATTTTTAAAAACATATTCTCAGTATCATTCTTACAAGAAGGGAGTATTTATTCAAGCTAATAACAGAATGTTACATAATTTCAGAAATTTTAGTAGTTAGTAAAAAAGCTATCTTGGGATGAAATCTGTAAAACCTATGAAGAAAAATCATAAATGAAACTGCTAATACTGACTACATCTGGAGAGGAATGTGAATGAGGGATTGGGGACTTTAACTCACATCTTTTTATTTATTTATTTGAGTTACACAGAGAGAGAATTCATGTCTTTTTTTTTTAACTTTATTAAAGTTATACAAGCTTCATGTATTTCATGTATACAGATTTAGGGACACAGTGAAACTTCCCACCCTACCCTCCTGCCTACTCTCCAATCCTTCTTCCTCCTTCCTCCCACATTCCCACTCTTAATTTTTACACAGATCCATTTTCAGTTTACTTAATGATTGTATAGTTAACCTTACACTAAGTAGGAGTTCAACAAATAGTATGAAGGAGAGAAAAAAAAGAAAAACACACTGTTCCTCAGTGGAAGAGACAGGGCTATAAACAACCATCGAATCTCAAAATGTCCATTTCACTTTAATGCATTACATTTTAGGTACTAGATTAGTACTGAATTAGTCCTTATGGCTGAGCACGGATCTCAAGTCTATCATTTTGGTTACTTAAGACCCTCATAGTAATGCATAGGCCTTCACAACAGACACTTATGCAGGTTGAGCAACAATTTATATCATGGATTAGAAACACAGATATCATCTGCAATGCTTATGCATAGTTAATCCAACTTTTGTCTGGCACAGCAGTTTCAGGGGATGGTAAACCAATATTCATTAGTTTTGGGCCTTACGCCACAGACATTTCTCTGAGTTCAGATCAACACATCCTAACACAAGGATATGGAGTCAAGATATTTATCAGCCCATATTAATTTCTAGAATATACTGACCGCTTGCTTTATTCCAGGCACAATTTGAAGTCCTTTACGAATGTTGACTCATTTAATGCATAGCAAAGCCTCCAAGGGACCCACTTTACAGATGAGAACACTGAGGCGGTCATGGAGGAAATTTCCCCGAGGTGCATTGTGAATGGCAGCAGCAAATCAACTCCAGTCACTCTGGTTTCAGAATCTGCCCTGGTAGCTCCCATGCAATGCTGTCTGTCATACGTAAATCATAAAATCCTATTTACAGATGATAAGGCTGAGGCCTCAAGAAGCAGGTTTGGCATTTCTCAAATCCTAGTGAAAGGCAGAACAAGAGCACACACCAGGGCCATCACATTCTAAAGCCCACAAACTCCTATGAATTGACTTCTCTCTGCTTGGATACCATTGTTTTTGACGCTAGGTTATGAACAACCCATAAAGATGAACTTTCTTAGTCATTTTAGTAAGTTGTTGAGTAACTGGAATAGGTGAAAATGATGCAAAATGGAAGAGGAGCATGAATAAATACGTTTTTGAAAATGTTTAGGGAGACACTGATTCTAGTGCCTGCTCTACTCTGTATTTTTGCTGTGTTCTACTGAGAAGAAATCATGTCTTTTAAAAAGCTGTATTTTGAGGAGCTAGCATTGTGGTAAAATGGTAAAGCCACTGCCTGTGATGCCAGCACCCCAAATGGGTGCCGGTTCAAGTCCTGGCTTTTTTACTTGTGATCCAGCTCCCTGTTGATGTACCTGGGAGGGCAGCAGAGGATGGCCCAATACTTGGTTCCTGCACCCATCTGGGAGACCTGGAGGAAGCTCCTGGCTCTTGGCTTCCAGCTTCTGGCTTCCAACTGGCCCAGCTCTAGCCATTGTAGCCATTTGAGGAGTGAACCAGTGGATGGAAAATCTCTCTTTCTCTCCCTCACTCCCTCTCTCCCTCTCTCCCTCTCTCCCTCTCTCCCTTCCCCACCTCACCCCCTCTCTTCCTATAACTCTGCCTTTCAAATAAATAAATAAATATTTTTTTAAAATTTTAAAAGCTGTATTTTGAATAGAGATTATATTTATCTTATGTATCATTATTAGATATAAAAACATAAACCATGGAAAAGCTGCCTTCCTCTGTCCCCCAGGAAGTCATTTTCCATCCCCAAAGGCAAGCACACTTAACTGTTTCTTCCATAATTCCAAGATACTGAGTGTATTTAAGAACAAATTAATATTTTTTCCTTTTTCCTACACAACAGGTAACTTGGGTTACTTTTAAAATTGGTGAGGCCGGCACTCTGGCTTAGTGGGTAAAGCTGCCACCTGCAGTTCCTTTTAAGGCTGAGCATTATTCTATTGTATGTATATACCATGTTGTTTATTTTTTATAAACGTGATATATTCTAAAGCCCACAATTATAATTTAACCCTTCATAATAAATTTATCCTATATAAAATATTGAGCAAACAACATATATATTTGTTCCTTAAATCTATTTAAGTTGAAAAAGGAATTGAGATATTATTTTAAATCAGAAGTAACTACTAATATTAAGATTGGATAATATTTGATCCCTAAACATGTTCTATATTCTCCAAAATCTCTGAAACACAGTTGAAAATACAGGAAAGAATTCATAACTCAGTTTCAATGATCCTTGTTCTTTAGAATGTCTGACAAGACCAGCACATAAAAACTCAACCTTTCCTCTTTATATTTCACTCTCACTTTCTCTTTAAACTCAATATAGCAATGCTGCTTTCTAAAGCTACTTTTTTTTTAAGATTTATTTATTTCTTTGAAAGCCAGAGCTACACAGAAGCAGAGGCAGAGAGGTCTTCCATCTGCTGGTTCACTCCCCAAATGGCTACCACGACTGGAGCTGAGCTAATCTGAAGCCAGGATCCTGGAGCCTCCTCTGGGTCTCCCATGCAGGAGCAGGGGCCCAAGGACTTGGGCCATTTTCACTGTTTTCCCAGGCCATAGCAGAGAGCTGGATCAGAAGTGGAGTATCCTGGACTTGAACCAGTGCCCACATGGGATGCTGCCACTGCGGGCTGGGGCTCTAACGTGCTGCATCACTGCGCTGGCCCCAAGAAGGAAAATTTTGACACATACTACACCACTAGTAGTGAAATCAGCCAGGCACAAAAGGATAATACTGTGCACTTCCACTTATGAGTCTCCTAGGGTAGATAAATTCATAGAAAGTTGAATGGTGTTACCAGCAGCAGGGAGGGTGGGAGTAAAGGAAGTTACCATTTGAGGGATGAAGAGTTTCAGGTTGAGAAAATGAAGGGGGAAAAATGACTTTTCATGTTTTGTCAAGATAATGCAGAAAATATGAGAAAAATACTTGTACAATAATATAACACATTATGTCATAGGTGTCATCTTCAGGAAGGCACACTGGACCTGCTAAATTAACAAATGGAAGGAAAGGGTAAGAACTCAAAAAGTTTGTAACTTAAGGAAATCTCAATTCAGACCCTTGGGCTGGACTACATTTCACCTACCCCGGAATACTAGATGAGCTTTTACCTTCACAAGCTCTGGGGAGTCATATTTCATATCTATCCATGTTAATTATTTTAGTGTTTTTAACAGTCTTAAAACAATTTTAATAATGTCCTATATAAATCCATCTTATACATGATTGGACAAACTTCCTTTTCTGATCTTTACTTGAAAGAAGATGATCTCTTACTAATATATTTTGTGAAAAAAATTAGTATTCATGACTATTAACAAACTTGTTTTTTAGGACCCATTTAAGAAAAATAGCACGTTTTAATGCAGATTCTGGCTATCCCATCCATTCTGATTCAGAAAGTCAGGTAAGATTAAATTGAATAGATAGAATGCATACTATTTTAATTAGTCCTCAGGTAAAATCTGAGAAATGGGAATAAAATGCAAAGATAAAATATTAATTGTCCTAAGGAAATATGAAGATTTGCTTTAAAACATTTTCTACCAATAAATTCCTTGTGTATAAAAAAATTTAAAATCCGTAGTAATTTTTTCCCTTCACTCCCATTTTATGTGCAAATGTACTTTGAATTACTTTCTTCTTATAGACTGAAACCGTACAAGGGCTTGACGGCTGTGCTTCTTTGCTGCGGGACATTATGAGAAATGAAGATTCAGGTCTTATTTTTTAAGATGTTTCTTTACTGATCACCTTTTCTCAGTTAAGTAGTTCTTTAATGTTAATGACTATTTTGTTTTAATTATAGGTACAGAAACAGCATATTCAGAAAATAGATATAATTCTAGAACTTTAGAAGGGAAAAGATGCGGATCTAAAAAAAAAGGACAGGACAAACATACTATTCCTTTAGTCCAGAAAGAAATGTGTAAGTACTTTTTCTTCTTATTTAAAAATAATTCTTAATTATGGGACTTTCATGAATTATCAGATTATGTTTTTGTCTTTCATTTCAATAATGTATTGGGTATTTGGCTTTGTATGTGCTTATGTTCTTAATATATTGGTTATTTGGCTTTATATGTGCTTATGTTCTCTTTTGTTTTTTAAATATTTATTTATTTGAAAGGCATAGTTAGGAGGGAGAGGGAGAGAGGTTCATCCTGCTGGTTCACTCCCAAATGGCCACAATGCTGGCACTGGGCCAGGCCGAAGCCAGGAGCCTAGAACTCCATCTGGGTCTTCCACGTGGGTGACAAGGGCCCAAGTACCCAGGCCATCTTCTGCGGCTTTCCCAGGCACATTAGCAGGGAGCTGGATTGGAAGCAGAGCAGCCGGAGCTTGAACTGGTGCTCTAGTATGGGATGCTGGCATTGCTGGTGGTAGCTTATCCCACTATGCCACAGTGTAAGCCCCTAGGCTTCTCTTTGTGTATTCAGCTTCTATTTTCTGTATAGTCACTTTGTTTACCATCACTCTCCTAAGAAGAAAAGGAGACTATATCGAGGTTTTGTCTGAGAAAAAGTTCAAACTCAGAATGACATTTGAGAGGTATCTAGTTATTTTTTGTTTCCTTTGCCATTTGTTTTAAAGATTTACTTATTTATTTGAAATGCAGAGTTAGAGAGGCAGAGAGAGAGAGAGAGTGAGAATCTTTCATCTGCTGGTTCACTTCCAAAATGACCACAGTGGCTGAAGCTGGCCTGATCTGAAGCAGGAGCCAGGAGCTTCTTCTGGATCTCTCACGCGGGTGCAGGGACCCAAGGACTTGGGCCATCTTCTGCTTTCCCAGATCATAGCAGAGAGTTGGTTTGGAAGTGGAGCAGCCAGGACTCCAACCAACATGCGTATGGGATGCTGGCACTGTAGGCAATAGCATTACCCTCTGCATCACAACGCCAGCCCCTTAAAATTATTTTTACATACAAGGGTACTTCAAGTAGTTTGTGGTGGGGAGCAAGCTTTTGGTTCAGAAATGAATGTGCTTGCTTCACATTGGTGTGCCTGGGTTTGATTCACAGCTCTGGCTCTGACTCCAGCTTCCCATCAGTGCAGGACCTAGAAAATAGCCAGAGTGGATCGAGTAATTGGGTTCCCGTCACCTATATGGAAGACCTGTTTGAGTTCCTGGCTTCTAGCTCTGGCCCTGGCCCAATCCCTAGCCTTTGTGGGTTTTTGGGGAGGAAACTGGAAGATGGAAACTATCTCTACTTCTCAAATAAAATTAAGGATTTTTGTTTGTGGAAAATGCACATTACTTTTAATTTAGCTTTTCCTTGAACTCTTTGAAGTACCTTATGTATATCCCAAGCTGATTGAGGAATTCCACTTGTTCAACAATACAGTGGGTATACATGGTACAAAAGGTGAAATTTCAAGTTGCATAGATAAGGAAAGAGAGCCTGCACCTGATTGACAGTGAATGTGTTCATGTTTTACATCCTAGTAATTACATGTAATCATTCAGCAAACAGTTTAGAACAAGCAAGTTCTGATAACGTTGCCCTTTAGGGGCCCTGTAGAACAACATGAACCCAAATGGAGATAAAGCTCAAGTGGAAATTCAGAAAGACAAGAATTAGACTGACTAGTTCTAAAGTGCATTTGAGTCAGAAATGCCAGCACTACAGTACATATTTAGATTTCACTTAGGTAAGATATGGGATTTAGAAAATTGTCTAGGACAGTAACCCTGGATATTAAGAGACCAAGATCCAAGCAAAGAGAAAAATGAGGATAGAGCGTTTATAGGTCTAGAGATTGTTCTCTAACTTAAGACCGTAACTTAAGTCCTTCATAACCCATCTTGGGGGCCAATCATACTTACCCTCATATCATCCTCACCTGCAGTATTCAGGATGGTAGCCTCTAGCCACATATGGCTATTGAGCACTTCAAAATGACTAGCATAACCCAGGAGTTGAATTGTTAATGAATTTATATTTAAGTTTGAAAACTGATACTGTATCCAGTTATAAAAATTTTAAGTGTGTTTGGAATAACTGGGATATGTAGATCTGTAATTTCAATTGTAAATTTTGTTAAATCTGAATACAGATGAGGTATTTGATGAAAATTTAGCATCCATATTGAGAGGTGCTTTCTGTAAAATGCATGCTGAATTTAGAAGATTTAATATTAAAAATATCAAATCTTTATTACATGCTGAGATACTAATATTTTCAACATTATTTTAAATAAGATGTTTTAAAAATAAGTTTACCTATTTTTACTTTTTAATATGGCTACTGGAAGTTTAAAATTACATATGTGGTTTGTATTATGTTTGTATTTCTATTAAGCAACATTGGTTTGAACCAGGAGTCAGCACACATTAGCCAGTTTTATTTTATAAATAATGTGTAGTTATTTTCTTTTATAAATAGAGTTTTATTAGAATACAGCTTTACTAACTTATTCATCTGTTTTCTATAGCTGCTTTTGTACTGCAGTGGTAGTGTTGAGTAGTTGTGATAGAGACCATCTGGCCTGCTAAGCCTAAAATATTTACTATCTGGTCTTTTAAGTAGAAGTGTACTAAGCCCTGATGTTAACTCTTAAAGCAGAGGCCTGTTTATTGGGGCCCAACAGACAAATAAATGAGGGGTAACACCTATCCTTCCAGTTTCCCAGTTTTGTCTCAAGGCAGGTAGTTTCTTATCCATGGCATCCTTCCTCAGAGAACTATCATTTGGGATATATATGGCTTACGGTGTCATGGTAGCAACTCACTGGATCCTGACTGAACTGCCTCGGTTATAGTTACAGGAAGAAACAGATGGCATTACTCAAGATAAAGAGAGGGGGGGGGGGATTCATTACAAAGGTATGAATAGGATATAGGAAAACCACAAGGGTTTGTGCTAGCTAGTGCTAGTAGCAGTAGCAGAGCTGTTGTCAGCACTAGGGCTTAAGGGATTAGGAGAGGGAGAAGTTACTAGACTCAGAAATAGAAACTGTTTTATACTGTAGACTTTCTTGAGAAGAGTGAGCTTCATTGAATGGACAAAGCCAGCCCAAGGTGACCTCATAGATAGGGAGCAGGAATAAATACTCTGACTTAATGCTTCTTCCTTTCCTTAATTTGCCAAAACTCTCATGGGATTAAGACAAACTGAAGCCCTATTGATGTATATCAGGTCTGGTATTTGATTTTTATTCTCACAGGCTAGTAAGTTGGTCATACTGTGTTGATGCTGGCAGAAGACACAAAATTTCAGGGTCAGAGACAAAGAACTTAATTATTCATATTACAGCAAGCAGAGTATATTTGCATTGGTTCTCCCTTGTACCCAGTTGCATTTGGGCTGATGTGATGGACCCAGAGGGATGCTAAGCATACTGTTGGTTTAGGTTTCAGCTAAGGAATACTGACCTTGGGAAGTCTGCTGTTTTGATAGTGTATAATAAACAAGACTGTACTTTTCTCAGGGAAATATTACCTCATTCTTCAAAGTTGCTAACCGAAAAAACAACCTTGAGAAATGCTCCAGGAAGCATGTAGGTTAAAGCCTATGTCTTGGTATACAACAAGATGTGTAGGAGCAAGAGACTGTTGGAGGACTGTCTCTTAACAATGTAATTGCATAGAACAGCATCCTAGTGAGAACAAGGGGACCAGTAGAGGATGAATTTGGAGTGGCAGATGGAAGGTATTTGGCATTCTGGATCCCTAGCACTAAATTTGTATTTGGATTATTGTCAAATCAGCAGTTTCAGCCTGTGATCAGGACACAATATTCTTTTTGTCCTTTCCCCTATACTTTCATCATCAGAAAGAAAGACCTATTCCCATAGGACTGTCGTCTTTAAGATAGCCATAAGATAGCCATATTAGAAATTAGTTATCACTGGCTTATTTACTCCCTGAAGTTAATTCATTGGAGGAGAAGCCTCCTTCCCTTAGGTCTTTAGGTTTGGTTCAACTGCTTTTCTTTTTTTAAAAGTTCACCGGAATAATGCAGAATGGAACATTTTGCTGTCTAGTTGTATGTATGTGTGGTTAGCTGCTATTTATGATTACAAGGTTTTTTTCCTGTTATCACAATGTTCAAAAATACACAAAACCCATGCTTAGCACATGTTCTCTTTTCCATCTCTTCCCAAGGGAGGTAATCATAAATAGAACTTTAAGGAATCTATTACAGCATGTTAACTAGTATGTAGTATCATTTTTTAATTTTAACACACATTTTCTTGCTATTTTTTGTTAAATGTCTTCTGGGGCGTGAAGCATGACTTTTTTTTCCCCCAAGATTTATTTATTTAATTTGAAAGACAGAGTTAGAGAGAGGGAGAAACAGAGACAGAGGTCTTCCATCCGCTGGTTCACCCCCCAAATGGCCGCAACTGCTGAGGCTGGGCTGGTCCGAAACAAGGAGCTTCTTCTGGATTTCCCCTGTGGGTGCAGGGGCCCCCAAGTACTTGGACCATCTTCTGTTGCTTTTCCAGGCATATTAGCAGGGAGCTGGATTGGAAGTAGAGCAGCCAGGTCTTGAACCAGCACCCATATGGGATGCCAGCACCACAGGTGGCAGCCACAGAGGCATGACTTCCATTGTACTTTCTGGCTGGGACCTACCTGCTCATTGAATGTTTATGGAGTTACATAAGCCTGCCTTGATGCATTTTTGGAGTAAGGATGCAGAAAGGCAGTTCCAGAAACATATTCATTGAGCTTACTTGGGAATGTTTCTGAGATGAAAAAACAGGAGGGGCCGGCGCTGTGGCGCAGCGGGTTAATGCCTTGGCCTGAAGTGCTGGCATCCCACAATTGGCTGCAGCCAATTGGGGAGTGAACCATCAGATGGAGGACCTCTCTCTCTCTCTACCTCTCCTCTCTCTGTGTAACTCTCATTTTCAAATAAATAAATAAATCTTTAAAAAAATGGAAACTGGCCGGCGCCGCGGCTCACTAGGCTAATCCTCCGCCTTGCGGCGCCAGCACACCGTGTTCTAGTCCCGGTCGGGGCACCGGATTCCGGCCCAAGGTTGGCCCCCCTTCCAAGCCAAGCTTTTCTGCTGTGGCCAGGGGAGTCCGGGGGAGGAATGGCCCAAGTGCTTGGGCCCCTGCCCCCCATGGGGAGGCCCGGATTAAGTTCCTTGCTTCTGCCATCGGATCAGCGTGGTGCGCCGGCCACGGCGCGCTGGCCGCGGCGGCCATTGGAGGGTGAACGAACGGCAAAGGAAGACCTTTCTCTCTGTCTCTCTCTCTCACTGTCCACTCTGCCTGTCCAAAAAAAAAAAAAAAAAGGAAACTTTTTTTTTTATTTGACAGAGTTAGAGAGACAGAGAGAAAGGTCTTCCTTTCGTTGGGTCACCCCCCAAATGGCCGCTATGGCTGGAGCTACACCGATCCGAAGCCAGGAGCCAGGTGCTTCCTCCTGGTCACCCATACGGGTGCAGGGGCCCAAGCACTTGGGCCATCCTCTACTGCCTTCCCAGGCCACAGCAGAGAGCTGGACTGGAAGAGGAGCAACCGGGACTAGAACCCGGCGCCCATATGGGATGCTGGCGCTGCAGGCGGAGGATTAACCAAGTGAGCCACGGCGCCAGCTGCAGGAAACTTTTTTTAAATAAGCAATTTTTTCATAACTGTGTTGAATGCTTTTGGGATTCTGCTTTTGATAATATGCAGCTGTTCCTCAAGTAATGAGCAGGTTACATTTGTGATAGAACCACAATAAGTTAAAGATATCTTGTTAGAAATGTATTTAACATACCCAGCCTGGCAAACACCATGGCTTAGCAACATATAGTACACTTTAGATCTAGTTCAGGTGTCTACTCTTGTGATCTGTGGCTTGCTGGCTATAGCCCAGCATCACAAGAGAGTACCCAGGAAAAGATAAAAAAAAACAAGATATGGTATTTATTGAATATATATTGTCTTTTGAACTGTTGCCAAATGAAAAAACTGTAAGTTCAACTAAGTTAAGATAGGGACTATATATGTTTTGCCAATCTCACCTTGAGCAAATAAACCACTACAGGCAGAATCCTTTGAGCTTTGGTTGCCCCCATCAAGGCCAGGTGTTCTTATATGTTTAGAACTATGATGTTTGTTCTCTTTTGGGTGGCAGGAATTACTTAGCTGTCAGACAATGCTTACACATCCAAGCAATAGCCAGTGCTCATATAGCAGCTACACTTCAAGGACTGAAAAAATCTTGAGGACTGATTGAACGAATGCATCTCTTTCATGAATTCTAGTTATCAGCTGACAGCAATTAGACATATTGCCATCCTGATCTGTTAAGTAAGATTTTCATGTAGGATACTTTGGTATAATTGATAAGAACAAGAAAATATAATTCTTTTGTATTTGTATAGTCACAGGCTTACTATGTTATCATTTTAAAATTATAGTAATATAAATATAATCTTTTATAATTTGTTTTAGACTATTTGCTTTAAAACTTTATGCATTAATTATAAATATTAAGCATTAATAGAATGTCATAAGGACTGATTTTATAAAGGAACAAAATAACTCATTTTAATTTTTTTTAAAGATTTTATTTATTTGAGAGGTAGAGTTATTACAGACAGAGGGAGAGACAGGAGAGAGGTTTTCTATCTACTGGTTTACTCCTTATTTGGTCCCAGTGGCCGGAGTGGGGCCGATCTGAAGCCAGGAGCCAGGAGTTTCTTCTGGGTCTCCCACGTGGATGCAGGAGCCCAAGCACTTGGGCCATCATCCTCTGCTTTCCCAGGCCATAGTGGAGAGCTGGATTGGAAAAGGAGTAGCCGGGACAGGAACTGGTGCCCATGTGGGATGCTGGCACCACAGGCGGAAGTTTAGCCTACCACACTACAGCGTTGGTCCTGTACGGCTTTGACTTTTAAGAAATATGTTTTCAGTTAATTTATGTTGGATGATGACATCTGCTGGCAGAGGCATACTATTGTAGTTCAGCTTTATCAGAGACCATGAAAACCACCCCTTGAAAGGAAGATGAGTGAGACCCAATGCCTGGGACCTGCAAGTGAAATCTGAGAATTCCTCAAACCAGTCAATTCTTAAGGGACCAAAGGAAATCCAAAAACAGAAGTGAGGCCAAGGAATCGAGAAGAAAGCATGAGTGATGAGGAAAGAATGGCCATGAGCAATGATCTCCCACTCCATCATTTTAGATTTCAGGGTTAAAATATTTCAGAAGGTACTATTCTATTTGATTTATTATAAAACTATTTCCAATAAGAAATAATACTTTATGAGAATTTATTAACTCATCTGTTCAGATAACAAAGATAACTATTTTTGCTTTTTGTTTTAATTATCTCAGAGGGGACATAGAGGTATATTAGTTTCTGCAAGATTTATGAATATGCAATATTGTCTTAAAGAATTTGCTGCTGTTTGTTGATAGAACATTTATTTATTTTTCCTGTATGCTAGACATTGATGTAAGAACTTTACAAGTGTTATTTACTTCTCAACAATCTTTTGAAGTAGACATTAGCACCATTTTTCTGATGAGAAAAGAGAGGCACAATAATTTGTTCATGGATACTCAGCTAATAAATGAATATTGTACACATCTCTAAATAGACAAATGTGTATTTGTGTTAGGTATATTCATGGAAGTGGAATTATTGTGTCATAGAATGTTATGTTTAGTTTTGGTAGGTGCTGCCAAGAGCTATATATGTTTCTAACTTTATTTTGAACAGTGATAACCTATGATCTTCCAGATCACTCCCCTTTCTGTTAATGTTTAAAAACATTTAGGTTAGGAAGAGGATCTGACAATGAAATAGAATTCAAATCCTTGTAACAATCTATAGGGTAGTACTATATAGACACTTTTTTTCATTTATTATTTTATTGCTACCAGTTTCTACTTTGTAGACCAGCCTCCTTGAGGAAAAAATAATAAAATATAAGGTACTGTCCTACATAAAGAAGCTTATAGCTTAGTTCTTGTAGAAGAACCACAGAATGAAAGATAAAAACTATATAGGGCAGTATGTCAGTAGTGTATGATTATTACAGATAGTGTGTTCTGCCATGGTAAAGAACAGTCATTGGAAATGAATGATTGGATGGGAACAAGGCCTCATGGAAGAGAGAAACTTTCAGAGGATGAGCCTTTATGAGTGAGTAGAACTGAACTTGAAGGAATGGTGCCTCAGGCACAATTCTATAAGAAGGTGAGAAAGACTTGTTGGGTGTCTAAATCAGCCTGAAAGTTTGAGTTGGGGGGATGCTGGGAAGACAGTTGGAAAAGCAGGTTTTGGTTGGGCTTTGGAAAAGTTAAAATGACACAGTAATGAATGGAAGGGGAGAGGGAACAGGAGAGGGGAGGGTTGCGGGTGGAGTGAAGTTATGGGGGGGTGGGGAGGAAGGTATTGTAATCCATAAAAAAACAATAAAAAAAAGAAATGACACACTAAGATATTTCTGAGCGTCCCCTGTGCAGATTAAGTCCACTTCTGTAATGATCTCAAGCTCTGATTTGTTTTGTTTTGTATTATTATAGCTGTCAAAGCTTCAGAAGTTGTGCAAAGTATTCATCTTTCCTATTTTCCCCTGAGAGCCTGAAGTAGATGAGGGGCAAGGTGAAGGAGTTTTATTAGACTATAGGGAAACTATAGTAGCCTTGACAGAAGTATTGTGATTAAAAGAGAGATTTTACAAATAAGATTTAATGTTGTTTTCAGAAAGAATTTGAAGTGCTTTTCTTTAGGGTGATAATGATAAAGCCTTTCTGTAAAAGATATGAAAAACTAAACCACTTCTAAGATTCCTTTTTCCCCTAAGATTTTAAGGGAAAAACCTTTTTTTCCTTTTTCCATATTAGTATCCTCAAATAACAAGAAACAGATACCCAATGAAGCTTCCGCTGGAAGTAAAAGAAACACATCAGACATACCTCAAAATTGGTCACTGCAGGATCATTATAGAACATACTCACCCATAATATACCAAGCCCTCTGTGAACATGTGCAGACTCAAATGTCACTGATGAATAATTTGGCCTCAAAGAACAGCACAAAAGGAATCCCTGCTGTACCTTGCCATACTGTGTCTGGTTCTGGTTAGTATGATGTTTTTAAAAGCATGAATATAAGCTCTACATAAATTACTTGGTGATTGTATAAGCAGTATGAGATATGAATAATTTTTTTCTTCCTCTTTTTAGAATCCCAGGCAACATCACAGTCTAATTATGGCTTATGTACCTCCATTCCGGTCTGGTCAGCTCAGCAGCCACCATGCCCTTCAGTGGTTCATGCTGTGGGTACAATTTCTAGATTATACAATAATAATTTGCTGATAGAAATGATCAACTTAGGAGGACTAAATTTACTGACTGTATCTGAGTGTACAAGAATATAAAGACCACTTGTTTCTTAAGTTATTTTTTATTAGAAAAATTTTACCTATTTGTTAAGTAAAGGTAATAGGGAGAAAAAGGAAAAGATATCGGTAGAAAAAAATGAATCAACTATACCCACCACCCAAGCACACACATAGGGCACTTTTCAGTCATTCAGTTCTCTCTGTGGGTTTTGTTTTCTACTTTTAAGTCTGCTTTCTTCTTAAAATAGAGTTATAGTTAAATTTTCTTTTTATATGCTGCATTTTTCACCTAACATTTTATTATAAATGTATTTATTAATATATACCTTTGGTGAGTTTTTAATAAGTAGTTAGTAATGTATTTTGTGGATATACCATAGTCTGTAACTATTCCTCTATGACTAGATATGAAATAATAGCCAGTTTTTCACTACCCTTTCTGAAAGTATGTTTGTTCAAAAGCTTTTTGTATGTTTGAGCTTTTCTTGCAGTGCAGTTTCTCAAAGTGGACCAATTGTTGATGCCTTTATACATTGTATGGTATTTGTAAATATTCTGTTTTAGTCATGGCCTTTTAATGGTCCTGTATTGCAGAGTTAACTAATTAGATTTTTTAAAAATGATTTATTTATTTATTTGAAAGTCAGAGTTAGAGAGAGAGAAGGAAAATCAGATTTTCCATCAGCTGACTCACTCCCCAAATGGCTGCAATGGCTGGGGATAGGCCAGGCTGATGCCAGGAGTCAGGAGCCAGGAGCTTCTTCTGAGCCTCCCATGTGGGTGGCAGGGGCCCAAGTAGTTGGGCCATCTTCTGCTGCTTTCCCAGGCTATTATCAGGGAGCTGGATTGGAAGAGGTGCAGCCAGGACACAAACTATAAGGGATACCAGCATTGCAGGCAGTGGCCACAGTGCCAACCCAACTTATTAGGCTTTTTTTTTTTTTTTTTTTTTTTTTTTTTTTTTTAAGATTTATTTATTTGAAAGGCAGAGTTACAGAGGCAGAGGGAGAGAGGTCTTCCATCTGCTGGTTCATTCCCCAGATGGCCGCAACGAACCAGATGGCCACAATGAATGGAGCTGAGTCAATTCAAAGCCAGGAGCGTGGAGCTTTCAGGTCTCACACATGGGTGCAGGAGCCCAAAGACTTGAGCCATCTTCTACTGCTTTCCCAGGCTATAGCAGAGAGCTGGACTCAAACTAGCACCTATATGGAATGTCAGCTTTGCAGGCAGCTTTACTCTTACTAGGTTTTTCTTTTTTTTTAATTTTTTTTTTAACTTTTTTTTTTGACAGGCAGAGTGGACAGTGAGAGAGATGTCTTCCTTTTTGCCATTGGTTCACCCTCCAATGGCCGCCGTGGCCAGCGTGCTGCGGCCGGCGCATCACACTGATCCGAAGCCAGGAGCCAGGTGCTCCTCCTGGTCTGCCATGCGGGCACAGGGCCCAAGGACTTGGGCCATCCTTCTCTGCACTCCCGGGCCATAGCAGAGGGCTGGCCTGGAAGAGGGGCAACCGGGACTAGAACCCGGTGTGCCGGCGCCACAGGCGGAGGATTAGCCTATTGAGCCGCCACACCAGCCTTACTAGGTTTTAAAAACTAGAATCTTTATTCTGCCTAGGAGAAATCCAGCTTACTCATTTTAATATAAAAATAGTATAAAGTCAGTTATTTTCTAAATATTGCTGATATTTCTGATATTAATTTTTATTATTAATGCCTGCAAAATCTCACACTTTTGAAAGATAACTTGTTTTCCTTTTCCTTTCTTTAGGAAGTTCAAACCTGTGGTGACAACCAGTTTACATCACAAGGCAGAACAGTTTCTGTGAACTGTAGTGGTGTTCCAAGGAATTCACTGAATACCAGTCCTGCACTTCCACGCAGCCTGCCCCTCACTGACAGATCAGCTCTTCCAACATTTCAGCAGCTGGGTCTTGCTAATGGGATTCTGCCACAACAAGGAGTTCCTAAGGAAGCAGACCTACTAAAGTGTTTTCAAACATATATGTCTCTATTTCAATCTCATGGAAAAGAAACTCATCCTGACAATCAGACATACCAAAGCCCTACTCGATCACAACAAGCTTTCTTGGCAAGTAGTGAAGACAAAGATGCCAGAGAACAAATTGGAGAGTCCACCAGTGAAGGAAAGGATTTAAACATACATAAACAAGATGCAAAAATGGTCAAGGATGTACAGAAGGCCAAAAATGTGAATCAGACTGCTGAAAAAGTTACAACTATAAAGTATTTTTTGGGAGAGCTCAAGGCCCTGGTAGCAGAACAAGGTGGATGAGTACTTTCTTATTATAGTGTGGTGTTACACTAAAAAGCAGTGTCACATCATAAGCCACCCTGCAAATTCAGAATCAGTGACATGGAGTTTTCCATATAACTGCATCTTGAGCTAATAGAAAATTGTCCTGCCTGTTGTATTATGTTTTAGATTTTTCTCTCATTGTGTCCTGTGATTTTGAAATGTGTTAGGGAATAACAGATATTTAGTCTTTTGCTTGCATGTATATTCAAAAGGATTCAAAGAGAATTTGTGGAGAGAAAATTTTAGTGGTTAGAAGACCCCTAAGGATGATTAACTCTTTAGAATAGATAATTTTAAGGAAATGCAGAGATTTCCTTCTCATCATTCTCTGATAACCAACTGTTTACATTTAACATCTCAATTTAAGAAGTAACTCAAGCCGGCGCCGCGGCTCAATAGGCTAATCCTCCGCCTAGCGGTGCCGCACACTGGGTTCTAGTCCTGGTCGGGGCGCCGGATTCTGTCCCGGTTGCCCCTCTTCCAGGACAGCTCTCTGCTGTGGCCAGGGAGTGCAGTGGAGGATGGCCCATGTGCTTGGGCCCTGCACCCCATGGGAGACCAGGAGAAGCACCTGGCTCCTGCCTTCGGATCAGCGCGGTGCACCAGCCACGGCGGCCATTGGAGGGTAAACCAACGGCAAAGGAAGACCTTTCTCTCTCTTTCACTGTCCACTCTGCCTGTAAAAAAAAAAAAAAAAAAAGTAACTCAAACCTTGTCTGCTTTTCAGTTTATTTTTATGACTTCTCCACTTCTCCCTTAAATCAAGGAAAATCTCTCTTTTTTTTTAAGATTTATTTATTTACTTGAAAGGCAGAGTTAGAGAGAGATAGGAAAAGAGATCTTCCATCCACTGGTTTACTCTTGAAATGGCCATAGCAGTCAGAGCTGGGCTGGTCCGAAGCCAGGAGCTTCTTTTGGGTCTCCTATGTGGGTGCAGGGGCCCAAGTACTTGAGCCGCCTTCTGCTGCTTTCCCAGGCACATTAACAAGGAGTTGGATCGGAAGTGGAGCAGCCAGGACTTGAGCCAGTGTCCATAAGGGTTGCTGGCACCACAGCCAGTGGTGTTACCTGCTGTGCTACAATGCCGGCCCCAAGAAAAATATTTTTGAGCCAGGTTTTGTTCATTTGTTTCCATTGTGTGTGTGTGTGTGCGTGCGTGCGTGCATGTATTCTAAAGTAATGGCTTTTGCATGGAATGAGTTACAGATTTGCCATCATCTTGGAAAACACAGTCATTGGTTGTGGAAGCAATGATTTAATACCTAACATTTGCAGGCCAAAAAAAATCTTAAAATGCTATAGGAATACAGTACCAATAAGACAAAGATTTAGGGTATTAGTATTGCTTTGTTTTCACACCTTCAACTTGTTACCATTCTCTTAACCAAATACTTAACCATGATAACAATAACAATAATCCCTACCACTTTTGAAAACTCACCATGTGCCCAGCACTGTGTTATTTTCAATGCATTAGTTTATTTAATTCCTGTGGCAACCCAATGAGGTACTGTTTTTTTAAAAAGATTTATTTATTTATTTGAAAGGCAGAATTACAGAGAGGCAGAGAGAGATAAGAGAGAGATTTCCATCTGCTGGTTCAGTCCTCAGATGGCTGCAGTGGCCGGAGCTGTGCTGATCCGAACCCAGAAGCCAGGATCAACTTCTGGGTCTCCCACATGGGCGCAGGGGCCTCAGGACTTAGGCCATCTTCTGCTTTCCCAGGCCATAACAGAGCTGGATCAGAAGTAGAGCAGCCGGGATTCGAACTGGTACCCATATGGGATGCCGGCACTACAGGGGGCGGCTTTACCCACTATGCCTTCCCCATGAGGTACAATTATTAATCCCATTTTACACATGAGGAGACTGGGACTTAGAGACTAGTATCTTATTTTTCTCAGTAACCTTATAAGATATTGTTATTTCCATTTGACTGAAGAAACTCTGAGAGTAATAATTTTAGGAGATCTATTGTACCAATACAAAATGGAGACTAGTTGATAAAAATGTATTTTTTAAGTGTTCTCACTACAAAAAAAAAGGTGTTTAACTCTATCCAGCCATTCCACATTATATATGTGTTTCAAAACAATATGTTACACAAAATAAATATATACAAGTTTAATAGTATCAATTTAATTAAAGTTAACTATTTAAAAAGGTTAATTTTTAAGCAAAGGGTTAAGTAATCTGATAGTCCACAGAAAATTTGAATGGTGCCAGAAGATAAAAATAAAAGAACAAAAGATCTAGTATCTACTTTCTACCTGCCTCTAAAAACATCCACTCTCTGTAGTTAATGTCACGTTGAAACAAATGAGGTGTGGCTGCTTTTATTAAATCTACTTTATAAAATTTAATAGCATTTTATCTTAATAGGACTTCACTCAGTATTTTACCAAATGAATCAACCTAAATAAATATTTACTTATGTGAGGATCAAAAGTTATAAATGTTAATACTGTATTGAAGTATAGGAAGCCATGTAGCAATCACAGGAGTCTACTGTAATCCTTTGATACATTTGAACTAGAAGCTATGTGTAAGCCACTTTGATATTGTAAGCCACTTGACCATAATGGAAACAAAAACTCACTAATACGGTAATCCTGTTTTTAAAATTTATCTTTTGTTTACTGAATTGAATTTCTTTAGAATTTTCCTGCAGGCAGCAGGAAAGAGGGAAATGGGATTTGTATAATAAATTCATAAATAAATGAGTTAAATTTATAGCACGTATGTACATATCTATGAAGATTTTCTTTTTCAGTAAAATGTACTAATAATCTTGCTCCAAACCAATTTACAATGCCAATTTCACTCATTTTTTCTGCCTTTTTTAGAGGATTCAGAAATTCAGAGGTTGATTACAGAAGTGGAGGCCTGTGTATCTGAGCTTCCAGCTGTAAGTGGAAACACAAATATTCAAGTTGAGATAGCATTGGCCATGCAGCCATTAAGAAGTGAAAATGCTCACTTACGAAGGTAAGAGTTGCTCTTTAAGTATTTTTGTCTGTATGCAAAGATGTCCCATAGCCGGAAGAAAATTACCAAATAAAATATGTAGGACTTCAAAAGGAAAGTAGATTTGCTGTCTTACTGTAATTCTGTGTTTTCTTCCCCGTTTTCCAAAGATTTCTAGCATACCCTAACACTTCTATTATTCCTGTCCACAGTACATCTCTTTTTCCACCCGTTTTCCTTTGCTGGTGCTTAGTTGGTAGCGTGTAGGCAGGAAAGTGAAGTAACTCAGTGTTTTTATCAGGCTAGCCTAGGTCATGCTGTAGTAACAGACATGCCTTTCCTTCATGCCAGAACTACAGTGGTTCATTGGAGGCTCTCTCCCCTCCTGTGACTCAGGATCCAGGCTCCCTCCATGTTATGAAGCTCCTGTCTCAGTATGTGTGCCCCAGGATATAGCATTGGGGTACCCTTACATTCACCTGCCCAAAAGTGACCATTGTACTACATACTTGAAGGCTAAAACAAGGCGCCTGGCCCTACCTAAGATAAAGGTCTAAGACTTAGAGTTTTCCATACAAGAAGGAAAGGAGCACCTGATGTGAATGAGCACTAGTAGTAGCTGCACCACATGTAGACATAGGAGAAAACCTCAGTTTATTCCCAGTTTTGTTTTTATTTTATTTTGGTCATCTTGTCGCAATCATACATTTTTTTTAAAAGATTTTATTTATTTGTTTTATTTGAAAAGTGGAGATACTGAGAGAGGTATCTTCCATATGCTGATTCACTACCCAAATGGCCACAATAGCCAGGGCTGAGCCATGCTGAAGCCAGGAACTAGAAACTCCAGTTGAATTTCCCACATGGTATAGAAAGGGCTCAAATACTTGGGTTGTCATCTGCTACCTCCTGCCAAAGCACTTGCATCATCATCAGTTACTATCCCAGACACATGATCAAGAAGCTGGATCAGAAGCTTTGAAATGGTAGTGCAATATGAGATGACAGTGTTGCAAGCAACAGTTTAATCTGTTGTGCCACAATGCCAGCCCCTGGAATCATATTCTTAATTTGTTTAGGAAAGTTATAAACAGGGGATCTAATCTTGAAAGATGCAAGAAATCACTCTTACATTATCAATACTAACTTTGAATATTTCAGTGATGACCACCAAGGCCAGCACTTCAGTGTCTGTTTATTAATAGCCTGCAGAGAATTGGAGCACAGTGTCAGGTGCTCTTGTGACTCTCCAATGTCAATGTGCCTTAAGAGTGTTACAGAAACTATAGACATGATAAGATAAGGCTTTGACGAATTTTTTAAGAAAATGGAATGCAATAAAATACAGGATTCTTAGCTGGAGAGTAGCTTTAGCTTACAGATCTGGAGCCTGCAGAAGTGTGACTACTGAGATTCAGTTGCTTACCAGTATTTCTCCAAAATCATTCATTTTTAGCTACTATGCTCTCAGATAGTGTTGTGAGTTTAAATTCTAGTAATTTTTTCCTGGGTCTTAACTTAGGAGATTCCCCTAACAGTATTAAATTTTCAAAACCAAGAATAAATGATAATGGAAATGAACAGCAAATGCTACTAGCATTTATTGAACATTCATTTTGTGCCATGCATATTTTATATATATCCTCTCTAAATCCTTACAACAGCCCTTTGAAGTAGGTATTATATTATTCTCATTTACAGATGAGGAAACCAAGACATAGATTGTATAACTTGTCTAAGGTCACATATTTAAGATTTGGCAGAATCCAGACACAGACCTAGGCAATTTGATTTTAGGATGAATGATCCTAAATGGTAGACTTATACATTGTTTCTCTTAGGAAGTAGAGACTTATTTATACATCACTATTTAGGTATATTTTGTGAAACAAAAGAAAATACTGTAAGCCCTTCAGAATTAAGAAGCATATTAGTTAAAGTATTGACTAGTAAATAATTGGTTTCTTAAGCATATCAGAACTTCCTCTCAGTGTGTTATCTATTTTAACATTATCACCATGGAGAATGTCAGTAGTTCTTATTTATTTCGCTTCTTGGAAATTTTAGAATTGCTTTAGCTAATTTATAAACCACTCAAGAAAATGAGAAGTAGTATTTTATTGGTTAGCACTTACTAGTTTGGTATCCAGTTCTTCAGACTTGGCACCAGAGCTCTTTTATCAGCCTGTCCTTAAGAGGATGATTACATAGCATGCTGTTTGCCACTAATGTTTACTTGACCTTCTGAAAGAAATTAATGAAACATGAACAAGTTGTCAGATGTGTTCTTTTTAACAGAATTAGGTTTCTAGCAGTAGTTAGGAATTTTTATGCCACTTAATCTATATTTGGAAAGAATCACCCATTAAAAATAACAATTGGAGTGCATAGGCTCATTCAAAACAGTTTTTTGTCATCTTCAATCAAATTTCTTTTCCTGTTTATACCTTTGGAAACTATATGTCTCTTTTTATCCAGAAAAGTATCTTATTGCCATCTTGTGGCTTAAAAAATAGCTTGGTGTATTTCTTTTTAAAAAAAAAGATTTATTTTTATTTATTTGGAAGAGTTACGGAGAGAGGTAGAGACAGAGAGAGGTTTTCCATCCATTGGTTCACTCCCCAAATGGTTGCAGCAGCCAGAGCTGAGCTGATCCAAAGCCAGGAGCCAGTAGCTTCTTCCAGGTCTCCCATCTGGGTGCAGGGGCCCAAGCATGTAGGGCATCCTCCACTGCTTTCCCATGTACATTATCAGGGAGCTGGATGGGAAGAGGAGCAGCCAGGACTAGAACTGGTACCTGTATGGAATGTCACAGCACCAGTCCCTAGCTTAGTATATTTCTATGCCATCTTGACATTTTTGGCTAGACAGTTTTTATGTGAGACTTCTGACAGAGCTGTCTAACGTTTAGCCTTCCTGGTCCCTAGCCACAAAATATCTAGTGCTCTTTCAGTGACACTGCCTAAAGCCCTGGCACATGCCCAAATTTCTTGAATGAAGGTTGGGTAGCGTAATGTTGCCTCCAGTTCAGAACCATCAAAGTACCCAGTTCCTTAATATTTATATCCCATATGGATGTTGGTTCAAGTCCCTGGCTGCTCCACTTCTGATCCAGCTTTCTGCTAATGTACCTGAGAAAGCCGCAGAGGATGGCACCAATACTTGGGCCCCATTTGAGAAACCTGGAAGAAGTTCCTGTCTCCTGGCTTTGACCTGGCCCAGCCCTGGGCATTGAGGCCATTTAGGGAGTGAACGAGCAGATGGAAGATTCTCTCTTTTTCTCTGTAACTCTGTGTTTCAGATAAATAAAATAAATCTTAAGAAAGAATCATATGGACTATACAAAAAGCTGAATTAGTAAGTGAGGTTATCAAGATATAAGATCAGTATATAAGAGGTAAATGTATTTCTATATACTAGCAGTAAACAATTTGAAATTAAATTTTTTAAAATATTTATTGATTTATTTGAAAGTCAGAGTTACAGAGAGAAAAAGAATCAGAGAGGTCTTCCATCCGCTGTTTCACTCCCCAGTTGGACACAACGGCCGGAGCTGCACCAATCCAAAGCCAGGAGCCTCCTCCAGGTCTTCCCACGTGGGTGAAGGGACCCAAGGACTTGGACCATCTTCTACTGCTTTCCCAGGCCATAGCGGAGAGCTGGACTGGAAGTGGAGCAGCCGGGACTCGAACTGGTGCACATATGGGATGCCAGCATTGCAGGCAGCGGCTTTACCCACTACGCCGCAGCGCTGGCCCCAAAATTAAATTTAAAATCAATACTACTGGAGCCAGTGCTGCAGCATAGTGGGCTAAGCCCCTACCTGTGGCACCAGAATTCCATATGGGGTGCCAGTTCATGTGCCAGGTGCTCCTCTTCCGATCCAGCTCTCTGCTATGGTCTGGGAAAATAGTAGAAGACACCCAAGTTGGGCCCCTACACCTACGTAGGAGATATGGAGGAAGCTCTTGGCTCCTGGCTCTTGGCTTTGGATTGGCTCAGCTCTAGCCATTGGTGGCCATTTGGGGAGTGAACTAGCGGATGGAAGACCTTTTTCTCTGTCTCTAACTCTACCTCTCAAATAAATAAATAAAATCTAAAAAAAAGTACTATTTACAGTAGCAGCAAAACTATGAACAACTTAGGGATAAATTTGATAAAAGATGCATAAGACTCAGGCACTGAAAACTACAAAATATTGCTGGTAGACGAAGACTTATACGTGAGATAAACCAGATCCACAGATTAAGGCTTTTTATTAAGGTGTTAGTTCTCCCCAAATTGATCTATAGGTTCAATATAATTTCAGGGAAAATCCAAGTAGACTTCTTTGTAAATTGCTGGTTCTGAAATTCATATGAAAATTCAAGGAGCTTAAGTATCCACATACACTAATAAACTAAGAAACCTCTGGGAAAGAACAAAGTTGGTACTGTCCAATTTCAAGACACAAAAGTTAAAACAGTCAAGATAGTGTGGGCATTGGTGTAAAACAAAAAAATAGGTCATTGAAACACAGTAATCTAGCAGCAAACATGGATGAATAAATTTTGACAAAAATGTCATAGGTATTAAATGGATCAAGAATTTTTTCAACAATCAGTACTGGAACAATTAAAATGCTACAATAAGAAAAAAGCTGAACCTCTGGGACTAGTATTGTGGCATAGCAGGTTAAGCCACTGCCTGTGATACTGGCTTTGACTGTTCCACTTCCAATCTAGTTCACTGCTAATGGGAAAAAACTGGGAAAGCAGAATATGGTCTGAGTACTGGGGGCCCTGCAACCACCTGGGAAACCTAGATGGAGTTCCTGGCTCCCAGCTCTGGCCTGCCCATGGTGGCCAGTTGGGAGGGAATAAACCAGCAGGTGAAAGATACCCAGCTCCCTCCCTCCCTCCCTGTCACTCTACCTTTCAAATAATTCTTAAAAATGAATAAATAAAAATTAACTAGAAAAGTAAATAAATTAGACTTCATCACAATTTAAAACATTTACTATTCAAAAGACATAATTACTCAAAATGAAGAGGCAACCAATAGTCTGAGAAAATATTTGTAAAACATATAAAGAACTTGTATCTACAATGCATTAAGAAGTATTACAACTAAATAATAAAGACTATCAGTTCTTAAAATCTCTACTTTAAAAATGGGCAAAATATTTGAACAGAGAATTCACTAAAAAAAGATTTAAGGATATCAAATAAGAACATGAAAAAAGGTCATCATTTATCTTCCAGTAAATGCAAATTAAAGCCATAGTGAGATATCACGGTATGCTCATTTAGAATAAAACAGAAATAGAATAAAATAAAATAGAAAACCGTATCAAGTATTAGAATGTAGGAGAACTGAATGTTTCATAGTCTGCTTTTGGGAATGTAAAATGGTGTGACTCATTTGGAAAATAGTTTGATGGTTTTTTAGAAATTAAACATTGGAAATTTAAAAAAAATTTTTTTAAAAGTTAAACATACAGTAACCATATCATGTGATTCAGCTATTCCACTCCTAGGTATTAACTCAAGAAAAGTGAAATGCACAAAAACTTGTTCATGAATGCCCAAAGGAAATATCCCAAATGTCTGTCAACAAATAAAAGATGGTAAATTCTACTCAACGGTAAAAAGCAAGTATTGTTACATGCAATCAACGGAAGGAAGACTGTTCTCTCTGTCTCTCTCTCTCACTAACTCTGTCAAAAAAATTTTTTTTAAAGATTTATTTATTTGAAAGGCAGTTACAGAGAGGCAGAGAGAGAGAGAGAGAGATCTTCCATCCACTGGTTCACTCCCCAAATGGCTGCAATGGTTGGAGCTGGGTTGATCCAAAGCCAGGAGCCAAGAGATTCTTCAGAGTCTCCCATGCGGGTACAGAGGCCCAAGGACTTGGGCCATCTTCTACTGCTTTCCCAGGCCACAGCAGAGAGCAGAACAGAGCAGTCAGAACTCCAACTGGTGCCCATAAGGGATGCCAGTACTGCAGGCAGCAGCTTTACCTGCTATACCATAGAGAAACTTCTGTCACACACTTGGTGCATAAGAGGGCTTACTCTTTTTCTGAAAAAAGTCTGCTCTTTTTCTGGAAAATACTAAAGCAATTCTGGTTGGAATCCTGGGTCACTATGCTGGCTTTTCTTGATGTGTGTGCTGTTATACTGGGCAGACCTTTCAGAAAATAAAGAATTTTATCAAAACAAAAAATGGATTCATATAGTATGGATACTGTTTTTTCAGTTTGTTCTTTCTCACTTCATATTGTGTCTTGGAGAGCTTTCTATGTCAGTAAATAGGAGTATCTCTTTAATACCTGTAGACTGGTACTTCACAGTATAGATGTACTATAATTCAGCATCATTAAGTAATAGCTATTGTGAACATCATGGTATATAAACAAAGCTATAATTACTTTTGCTCATGTGTAGTTGTTTCCAAAGCTAGATAAACCAAAGGTAGAATTCTTTTGTAAGATATGAACATTGTCTATTTTGTTGGATATTGCCAAGTTGCTATCCAAAATAGTTATACCAATAGATTCCCATGAATTGAAATAATTCATCTCCTTATATTTTTACCAACAAAGACTGCTATTTTATTTTTGTTGATTTTGTGGCAAAAAGATATCCTTGTGTTTACAGTTCTCTTCATGTTAGTGAAGCTGAGTATTTCCATATAATATAGAGCATTTCTATTTCTTAGGTGAATTGTCCATTCTTATCCTTTCTCACTTTTTACTAGGTCGACTTAAATTTGTGAGAACTTTTTAAATGTTTTGGACCCTTTACTTATTGTATATGTAGTCAGTATTTTCTTTCCACGCTGTTAATCCTAGAACAAGTTTCTACTTTTGATGGTCTTAAGTCCTTAACTCTTTTCCTTGTTGCCTGGTGGACTTTGAGTCTTCCTTAGGAATGCTTTCCTTACTTTAAGATCATTTAGATTTCTCCTTGAAAGGTATTTAGTTGGATTTCATTTGTATTTCTTACATTTAACTTTTAATTCATGCAGAAGTAACACATGTGAATATTGTGAGATAAAGTGCCAGTATTTTAGATTTAGTAACAAAAGTAAGTATTTCAGTGCAGAATATTTTCAGGTATATAATTCTGGGAAAATACCAGACATAAGCTTTTTTTTTAATAGTAACCTCATAAAAGTGAAATAAATACTTTTGTCTGTAGTAAAGCACCTACATTTTACAAAGTTCATTGTAGGGACAAGTTGCTGCTTATTAATATTCTCATTATTTAAGTGAGGCCAGTAACCTTTCCATCTAATAAAGAAATGATTAAGGGGCTGACTCTATGGTATAGCAGGTAAAGCTGCTGCCTGCAGTACTGGCATCCCTTATGGGCACCAGTTGGAGTTCTGACTGCTCTGTTCTGCTCTCTGCTGTGGCCTGGGAAAGCAGTAGAAGATGGCCCAAGTCCTTGGGCCTCTGTACCCGCATGGGAGACTCTGAAGAATCTCCTGGCTCCTGGCTTTGGATCAACCCAGCTCCAACCATTGCAGCCATTTGGGGAGTGAACCAGTGGATGGAAGATCTCTCTCTTTCTCTCTCTCTCTCTCTCTCTCTCTGCCTCTCTGTAACTGCCTTTCAAATAAATAAATAAATCTTTAAAAAAATTTTTTTGACAGGCAGAGTTAGAGAGAGACAGAGAGAAAGGTCTTCCTTCCATTGATTCACCCCCCAAATGGCCGCTATGGCCAGCGCGCTGCGGCTAGCGTGCCGTGTTGATCCGAAGCCAGGAACCAGGTGCTTCCTCCTGGTCTCCCATGCAGGTGCAGGGCCCAAGCACTCGGGCCATCCTCCACTGCCTTCCCGGGCCACAGCAGAGAGCAGGACTGGACGAAGAGCAACTGGGACAGAATCTGGCACCCCAACCGGGACTAGAACCTGAGGTGCCAGCGCCACAGGCGGAGGATTAGCCTAGTGAGCCACAGTGCCGGCCAAATCTTTTTAAAAAAACTTTTTTAAATGACAAAGATACAGAGACAGAAGTTAGAAGAAGAAAATAGCAAGAAGAGATAGGAAGAAACAAAGGAGATAAAACAAAAAAAGGAAAACAAAGAAAAGTGAAGGAAGGTTTTGTGTTGTCCCAGACGATCTTTTAAAAATGTCCTCAGGCCCCCAGCAGCAGCAGTGTGGTTTTCTTCATTTTTTGTCCTTTTTTGGGGAATAAGATGGACTTCTGCCATTTGTAATTTATTGATTGATGTGCTATCAAATGTACACTGCTAAATGGGCTTAGAATTCTTGCATTCATAATTTTATTATTTATTTATTTATTTATTTTTAGGCAATTGAGAATTTTGAACCAGAGACTTAGAGAACAAGAAAAGACAAAAAAGACAACTGGTTCTGTGGAATGCAACCTTGAATGTAGGTAAAAGGACTTTTAAGGGTTGATATTAAATTCTTTGTGGTTCTAGAAATGCTGGTAAAGAATTGACCTTTCTTAATTATAGTTTCTAAATGGATTTTCTTTTTATTTAAATCAAGTTAAACAAAATAAAAATATTATTTATTAAAATTTAAAATGGTACAGTAACAAAAATGAAAGTATCACTTCCTAATAATATACTATTTTTAAAAAGGACTTTCTTTTTGCATATCTTCTGTTCATATGAATTTTTATATATAATTGATTAATTTCACAAATGCCGAGTACATACTGTGTACCAGGAACAACCAACCATGTACGAAGCTCTCCAAGTAATCTCTTCTTGTATTCTTTTATATATTGACTTTGCTTTTTAAATGTAAGATTGTTCTATATCAATGTACCTTAGAAAGTTTGTGGACTGGAATTAAAAGTTTATTTGAGCAAAAAAAGTTTTTTAAATTTATGCATAGTCTTTTCATAATATGTATTTTCCATAAACTTTTAAAATTGTTTGATTTATTTTTCTGAGAAGCAGTTAGACAGAAACAGAGAGATAGAGCTGCCATCTCTCATGGCTGGCTGGATTGGAACCTGAGCCAAGAGTCAGGATCCTAGAACTCAGTCCAGGTTTTTAATGTGGTGGCAGGGACCAACTACTTGAGCTATCACCTGCTTTCTCCCAGGGTTTGATTGGTGGGAAGCTAGAATCTGGGAGCCAGAGTCAAGCCTTGAACCTAGGCACTCTGGTATGGGATATAGGAATCCCACTCAGGGTCTTTAAAACAAATAAAAGATTTATTTATTGACTTGAGAGGCAGAGAGGGAAATTGATCTTCTATCCACAGGTTTACTCTCCAAATGTCCACAACAGCTAGAGCTGGGCCAGGTAGAAGCCAGGAGCCTGGAACTCCGTCTGGGTCTTCTACAGTGGGTAATAGGTATACAAGTGCTTGGGCCATCATCTGCTGTCTTCTCAGGCAAATTAGCAGGAAGCTACGTTGGAAATGGAGTAGCCAGGACTTGAAAAAGCACTCCAATATAGGACATAGGCATCCCAAGTGGTAGCATAAACCTCCTTTGCAGTGCTGGCCCCCACTCCCTGCCAGCAGTGTTTGAATCTCTAGGCCCAACACCCACTTTCCATGAACTTTTTGAAGACCTCATACTCTGCCACAGGTTACATTTATTCATTTAACATATAGTGGACATTTTTCTCTATCAAAATAACTTAAAACATTTCTTTTTAAGAACCACTTGGGTGTTCTGCTTAAGCAGCTCTACCATAATATATTTAAGGTCATCTACTGATAGATATCTGAGTATTTTAGTCTTTTTACCCAGTGAAAACAATGCATTGAACTTCCTTGTACCCATGCTTTATGCACTTACAAGTATGTAAGCATTTTTTGTAGGATAGATTTATAGCAGCAGAATTGCTGAGGCAGAGTATATACAGTTGCAATTTCGATAGCTATTTTCAAATTGTCTTTATGGATCTCAGAGCTTAATAGAAAAAAACTAATAGTACTAGAAAGCAAGATGATTTTTAAGTTTAGCATTATTAGAAGCTTCTCCTAAGCCTAATAAAAACTCAAGTACCACAGAAAGGGACAGATAGATAAAAATACGCCCCTAGAAATTGTTTTCAATTTCTGCACAGCACAATTTTAAATATGTTCAAAAATATCAACAAACTGAGGAAAATTGTTTGCAATACATTACATGACATGCCAAAGGCTTTTTCTTCCTATATGAATATCTGTTACAAAGCAATATCTGTTACAAGCACTGTATAAAAGTGTTCACTTTCACCAGAATTTCTGAAGAGGTCACTTTTGGTTCCACTGTGAATAAAAGATGGGTACAGGAGGATGGTGAGAGAGAGGAGGCCAGTAGGGGAAGTAGGGAGATCACTGGTTGTCACTCTTAAGTAGCATCTCTCTTTGTATTCTTTTATTGTTTCTTTTTTATTTGTTTGTTTATCTTGCTGTTCATTGCGAGCATTTCGTACTATTTATAAAGTATTTGTTGTTAGCTCCGTGAGAGCAGGGGCCATGACTGTGTTGTTCACAGCTGTATATCTAGATAATTTTTTTAAGATTTATTTATTTATTTGAGAGGCAGAATTACAGACAGAGAAGGAGAGACAGCGGGATCTTTCATCCACTGATTCACTCCCCAGATGGCCGATTCAAAGCCAAAACCCAGGAACTTTGTCTGGGTCTCTCACATGAGTGCAGGGCCCAGGCACTTGGGCCATCTCCAATGTTTTCCCAACCCATCAGCAGGGAGCTGAATGGGAAGCGGAACAACCAGGACTCCAACTGGCACCCATATAGGATGCCCCACACATATGAAGCATTCACTCAAGGCTGCATTTGCTAAATGAGTGGTGCCACATACTTTTACAGACTTGAAAAAGAATATAATATAATCTATGATACATCTAGTCTTACATAGGAGAACATAAAGTTAGAAATCATGGATATAGTATGATTGTTTTATGTTTAAGCACTTATTTATAAGATCTTTTATGCAGTGCTTTCCAGAAAGGTGCCAAAATTAATAATGATTGCATCTTGTAGGAGAGTAGATAAGGTGATGAGAGGAAGACATTCATCAAGAATCATTTGATATCATAGGTATTTTGTGATGTTTGTAATATTCTTTCATTTAAAAAGGTAAAAGATATTAGTATCAATTGGAGAAGAAAGCATGTCTTCTGCCAGTCGATTTATAAAAATATATTTAGTATTTGTATAGAACTGCTCACACATATAATCGTTTAACAAAATCAGTGAATTCTAAGCCTTTTTTAAAAAAAAACAAAAAACAAATATTTTAGGTTTGTACTTTTCAAATTTGAGAAGCAACTGTTTTATCCGTTTTGTCTTACAGTGTTTTCTCTTCAGTCATTAAACATGTCACTGCAAAGTCAACTACAGGAGTCACTGAAGAATCAGGAATTACTACAAAGTAAAAATGAAGAGCTCCTAAAAGTGATTGAAAATCAGAAAGATGAAAACAAAAAATATACTAGTATATTTAAAGAAAAAGATCAAACTATACTTGAAAATAAACAGCAGTTTGACATTGAGATAACAAAAATAAAAATTGGTATGTATTTGAACTGCAGTTCTGGTCTCATTTTTTAGAAGGAATAAGGAAACTGATTTTTTGTTGTTATTTTAGAACTAGAGGAAGCCTTAGTTGATGTGAAAAGCTCCAAATTTAAGTTGGACACTGCTGAAAAGGAAAATCAGATACTAGGAATAACATTACGTCAGCGTGATGCCGAGGTGGCTCGGCTGAGAGAGTTAACCAGGTAAAATTGATTTCCTTTGAATACTACCTGTACCTTTTCCTGTATGAACTTATAAACCCCAAGATAACGTCAGACCCGACCTTTACCTTGTATTGTTTTCCTGTTCTTACTAATTGTCAGTGTTCTTACTAATTTTGAACAGTGTTTTTTTCTGTTCCAGTTAAGTTAGCTTAGAAATTCCAGACCTGGCTAAATGGTTTTTTAAACCATGATGAGAAGCTGAAGACTTTAGCAAATGGTTAAGCTCTCTGGCTTTGAAGCCAAAGAGCCCCCTAATGGAATTGCAGTTCTGCCACTATCAGTGCAACAACTTTGAACAAATTATTTAACTTCTCTAAACCTCTACCCTGAAGTGCAGAAATGAATTAGGTTATTAGAGATACTAAGAAAGAATTACTAAAAGCCTTTGAGCATGGTAAGCCCTCATGCCATATCATCTTTGGTAAGTCATTTAGGCCTCTATAAGCCTCATTTTCTTCATTTCATCAGTAAAGAGAGGGAGCTGACAGCAGCTCTTAAGAAGCTTCATTTCCTAACAGGTCTTTTCTCCAGTAAATAAAATTACCTCACTCAATGTTTATGCTGTACTCACTGATGAAGTTCAATTTTCTGTTGAGATGTTTGCTAAGAATTTTATTTTCAACTGCTTTTTAAAATCCTAGAGAAATTAGTTATTTTAAACCTGAAAATCATGCCTTTGAATGATCTTGGAAATTCATAGTTGTAAATGTAAAACATTTCCTAAGTATTTCCACTGAACAGATACTTTTTAAAAAAAAAAATATTGATTTACTGGAAAGTCAGAGTTACAGAGACGGGGAGAGAGAGAGAGAGAGAGAGTTTCCTTTGTATTTCCACTGAACAGATACTTTTTAAAAAAAAAATATTGATTTACTGGAAAGTCAGAGTTACAGAGACGGGGAGAGAGAGAGAGAGAACAACTTCCATCCACTGGTTCACTCCCCAAATGGCTGCAACGGCTGGAACTGAGCCAATCCAAAGCCAGGAGCCAGGAGCTTCTTCTGGGTCTCCAATGCAGGTGCAGGGGCCCAAGGACTTGGGCTATCTTCCACTGCTTTCCCAAGCCATAGCGGAGAACTGGATTGGAAGTAGAACAGCTGGGACTCAAACTGGCACCCTTGGGATGCCTGTACTGTGGGCAGTGGCTTTACTTGCTATGCCACAGCACCGGCCTCAGAAGATACATTTTGAGCTATGAACTTTTTTCTTCATTTTGAATTATAAATGTTTAAGAAAATAGTTGCAAAATATATATATATAATATTTTATAAGCACATTTGAAATTAATTTGTTATTATAGAAATACTGCTTTTTTCTCACATTTATCTTTCAAAGAAACTTCAAACTTTGATTTAATGTGGAAAGAAAAATATATTTTGTATGTAATTAGGATTATAATTTATTAGGCTCTTGTTGAGTTTCTAAACATTGCTTGTACCACTCGTGTTCAAAATAAAGTAGTAGAGTATCTTTATGAAAACCTTTGTAATTTTTTTATTAAAGATTTATTTTATTTATTTGAAAGAGTTACAGAGAGAGGTAGAGACAGAGAAAAAGAGGTCTTCCCATCTGCTGGTTCACTCTCCAGATGGCTGCAATGGCTGGAGCTGAGCTGTTCTGAAGCCAGGATCCAGGAGCTTCTGCTAGGTCTACCACGTGGGTACAGGGCCCAAGGACTTGGGCCATCTTCTACTACTTTCCCAGGCCATAGCAGAGAGCTGGATGGGAAGTGGAGCAGTCAGAACTCATAATGGCACCCATATGAGATTCTGGCACTGCGGGCCAGGACTTTAACTCACTGCACTGCAGCACTGGCTCCTGTTATATTTCCATAGGAAAGTGTCACCTCTTTTCTGAGGAGTAATTTGAGGTTGAGAACTTTGTTAGTATCAAGTATTCATGGTAAAAGAAACCAGTAACCAAAGGGCCATGTGTTATCATTTATATGAAATGTCCAGAATAGGCAAATGCATAGAGACATGAAATAGATTAGTGGTTGCCAAGGACTCAAGGGAAGGATAAGGAAACTGGGAGTGATGATCATGAATAAAGTTTCTTTTAGAGTTCATAAAATATTCTGGAATTACATAGTGGTGACTAATGGTGACTATCATAAAATTCTATGAATATGCCAAATACTATCAATTGTATTCTTAAAGGAGGGCAATTTTAGGGTGTGCAAAGCCTGTCTCAATAAACTTGTGAAAGTATGTATGCTTTGCAGTCCATGTAGAAAAGAAAAAGAGGTTAGCAGGTCAGTGGGTCAGGTGCTGTGAGAGGTTGGTTAGACATTACTGCAAGCATCTCTTCCTCATTCTAAAAGGTTTCAGCCCCAAACAGAAAATCTGACAAAGAGGAAGTTCTAGTTCCCTAATAATTTTCTTTTCAAAATCTTCTCATTCTCATATCATTTTACTTGTCCTCACCTAAGAGGGAAGATTTTATTATCTGAATTTTCATAAATACAAAAATGAGTATCAATAAAAATTAATAATGGAGCTTGAAGTAGATTTCATGTATTTTAATTTCTTCCAGAATTTTCCCTCTATCACATGGTATGGCTTTAGCTAAACTATTTTATTTCTTGTGGCAACTCCATGCCTATTTTAAGTTAACCTTTACATGTTTTACCTGAGAAATGGATGAGTGAATAAATTTATTTGCTTATTCATTTATTCAGCAACCATTTATTATATATTATATCACAAATGCATATTTGTAAAGCACACATAAAAATATTTAATCATTTTAGTGCCAAAATGTCCACATCATCAAGCAGAGGGCTTATTCTAGTACTTGAATATGATGTATATAAGGAGATCACGTTTTTTAAGGGTAAACTTGATCAAGTACTATTGAACATGTACAGTGCATTTACCAAAAAATGTTGGTAACAAAAACATAGTCTTCCAGAGTAGGTAAACAGCATGTAACAGTTCTAGAAGTTAATGTAAATGGAAGCCCAAAGAAACAAAGGGAATTACCTGACTTCCAAACTTTCACAACTAGTTGGTACCTGGGCTGGGACTTTAGCCAGGATTTCAGATTCCTTCGGCTTTGTTTCTTGTGTGTGTGTGCGGGCACGCACGCGCGTGTGAGTGTGTGTGTGTGTATGTGTGTGTGTGTATGTGTGTGTGTGTGTGTGAGTTTTAAAGACTACTTATTCATTTGAAAGAGGGAAAGACAGAGAGCGAGGTCTTACATCCACTGGTTTACTCTCTAGGTGGCCACATTAGCCAGAGACTGAGACCAGGAACTCCATGTGGGTCTCCCATGTGGGTCTCCCATGTGGACGGTGGGGGACTAAGCACTTGGGCCATCTTCCACTGCTTTTCCCAGACCATTGGTTAGTAGTGGTCTGGACTGGAAGTGGAGCAGATGGGACACAAACCAGTGCCCATATGGGATGCTATCATTGGTGATGGCAGCTTTTCCTGGTGCACCACAGTGCTAGCCCCTGCTTCTTGTTTTGAATAGTTTCTCTTTGAGTGAAGATGACTCATTATTGAGGAATTCTACCTATTCTGTAGCAGATAGCATATTTATTTTCATGTTCTTTCAAAGTAACACAAACTTACTTTCTCCACTATAGATAGGAATTAAAAAGCATTAGCTTGTAATAGGGTTCTTTTTAAAAAAAAATATATATATATATATTTATTTTAGATACTTGAGAGCCAGAGTTACAGACAGAGAGAGGTCCTTCATCTGCTAGTTCACTCCCCAAATGGCCACAACAGCCAGATTTGGGCTGATCCACAACCAGGAACCAGGAGCTTCCTCCAGGTCTCCCACGTGGGTTCAAGAGCCCAAGCACTTAGACCATCTTCTGTTACTTCACCAGGCCACCAACAGGAACCGGATCGGAAGTGGAACAGCTGGGACTCAAACTGGCACCCATGTGGGATGCCAGTGTTTCAGGTGGATGCTTAACCTACTACACCACAGCACAGGCCTCAGGTCCCTCCTTTTAACATTTACCCCAGTAGAGAGCTGTAGATAAGAACTGTAAAAGGTTATTAATTTTGAACACCATGTGTAGTTAGAAAAGATGATGTCAAAAATATTGGATGTAGACTTTTTACTCTCTGTTTCTGAAGACTCTCAGAACTTTGCTGTCAGCTTTTTCCCATTTCTGTTAAAGTTTTTATGCTGGACACAGATCCTGCCTCATGACTACTAGCTCACCTGTTAGATTCACTGCACTGTTTAAATGATTATAAAAACATGATGGGCAGGCTTAGCATGGTGTCTCCTATAGAGGTTCGTCTGCCATATACTTTTATGAAGTTTCAGTAACAGCTTCAAGATGCAGGTATACTCATTGATGTCAATTTTTGGTTTGTCCTTTAAAAAAATTTTTTTTAAAGATTTATTTTTATTTATTTGAAAAGCAGAGTTAGAGATCTTCCATTCACTGGTTCACTCCCCAAGTGGTGGCAACATCAGGGCTGAGCCAGACAGAAGCCAGGAACTAGGGTCTTCTTCCAGGTCTCCCACATGGGTGCAGGGACCCAAACAATGGGGAAATCTTCCACTGCTTTCCCAGGTGCATTAGCAGGGAGCTGGATTGGAAGTGGAGCAGCTGGGACTCAAACCGGTGCCCACATGGGGTACCACAACACAGGCCCCTTGGTTTGTCTTTTAAATTAAAAACTTAAAACAGCTTTTGTTAATTTTATCTAAATGCTTCCACATTAGTGATTACTAGTTAACGTTTGGTGACATCCTATACAACTCAGTTGGGTACATCTCCAGTGCTATAGCTAGGCTGCTTGTGACCACTTTAATTTTACTTTGAATAAGGGGATAAAGCGCAGCATCTGACAGTACAGATACCTGCATGCTTATCCACCCTCCTCCTTCCCTGCAGTCCTACACCTTAGTCAGATAGAGGTATGTGCTCTGTATGTGTCTTTTAATTTCTTAATGCCTTACTCAGACTTTTAGAGAGGAGTATATCTGACTGGAGGTTACAT